TGGGGACATTTTTTCCCCATAACGTGATAAATACCAGGTACACACACACACACACACACACTCACACACACACACACACACACACACACACACACTCTCACACACGCAGATGGATGGACGGACAGTCCGCTCTAATTGAGTCAGGCTGGTTTTGGTTCTAATGAAGGAATGTTCGCAGTCATGCAAACAAGGACACGCTGTCAGAACACATAGATGCATGCCTCAGCGAGCCACAAACACACACACGCACACACACACACACAGAGATCAAGATCTCACTTATCAAGAGCAAACACACAGATCCACTCTGAAATGCTTAGCAGACCAACACACACACACACACACACACTCTGACTGTAAGTGAATCGCTTAGGTGATGCACCTGTTGATCTGAGCTGAAGGCTGATGGGAGCAGTGCTGGGGTAAGATGTGCCGGTTGATGAGGATCATCAACAGTATTGTCACAGACCGGCTCCGGTGTGTGTTTGTTTGTGTGTGTGTGTGTGTGGTTTGGCTGTGACTGTAATTCCTCCAGCTGGGTAAATTCTTTTATCGTCTGGCTGTCTGAGTCGCTCTGGGAGGGTGAGCGTGGGCTCGTCTCGCTTTCGTCTCCTCGCTCTCTCTGTTCGGTCTCACACTTCTCCTCAAATCAATAAGGTTTTTATCTTGTCCCTTAATATTTCTTCTCTATTTACTCGTCTCCCTGCTCCTCACTGTCTGTCTGTCTCTCACCTGCCCGTCTGTCAGTGCGTGTGTGTCAGTGCATGTGACTCAGAGCTGCATTCTTCTGTGTGTGTGTGTGTGAGAGATGCAGGTGTGTGTACAGTATCACTATCACAGTGCATATTAACCTACACTAGACTGATGGGATCAACGCATCTGACTGCACTAGCTGTCTCCATTACTGTTCAAAAGATTTAAAGAACTAAGCACTTTTATTCAGCAAGGCTGCATTGAATTGATAAAAAGTGACAGTAAAGACATTTATAATGTTACATAATATTTCTATTTCAAATAAAGGCTGTTCTTTTGAACATTCTATTCATCTGTGAATCCTGAAAAATAAAATGTATCACAGTTTCCACAAAAATATTGTGCAGCACAACTGTTTTCAACATTGATAATAATCAGAAATGTTTGTTGAGCAGCAAATCAGCATATTAGAATGATTTCTGAAGATCATGTGACACTGAAGACTGCAGTAATGCTGCTGAAAATACAGCTGCGCATCACAGAAATACATTACAGTTTAACAGATACTCACATTGAAAACAGCTGTTTTAAATTATAATAATATTTCACTGTTTTTATTGTATTTTTGATCAAATAAATGCAGCCGTGGTGAGCAGAAGAGACTCAGAAACATTAAAAAGTGAACTGACTTTTGCAGTTTAGTGTATATATGTCTTATTTGCTTTGTTGTGGGTAAAACAGTATGATTCATTCAATGGAAGAAGAACATCTGTACAAGACTTTACAACTCTCTCTCTCTCACACACACACACACACACACACTCTCGGTTCTGCTTTAAAGAGTCTCACTCCAGTTCAGAAACAAACCGTTTGATTGAACACGAGTAAAAATAAAACCCTCGTGTTCTGTTGTAAACACAGCGAAGCAGCCAGACTCTCTCCGTCTCTGTGAGTCTGTCCTATAAACACGTCTGAAAGCATCGTCTCTGAGCTAATGACAGAAGATTCAGACTCACTGTCTAAACAAACTAATGCTAATGGCGCTGTCTAAGTGACTTCAGACTGCCAGGAAACCATCACATCCATATACATACACTACATCAGTAAATTAGAAAATAATGACAGTGGAATCTGTACTGAACGGAGTTTGATTTAGATGATGCTTTAGATAGAGTTTAGATGTGTGTGTGTGTGTCTGAGTGTGAGTGTGAGTGTGAGTGTGAGTGTGAGTGTGAGTGCACCAAATAACGGATGCAGGGCAGAATTAGGCCAATACCCTCTCCTTCTAAACATCCAAAAAAGAGCCATCAAATTCTGGAAACACCTAAAGACAAGTGACCCCAGCACATACCATTATAAAGCCCTGAAACACCAAGAGCTGAGCCTCACGAAGAGTCCCCTCCTTCAGCTGGTGCTGAGACTGACAGAGATCAGCCAGCCTCAGAACTCACACTCACTCTCAACCATTCGGCCCACACAGATCATCAACACAGAGAAACACAAGTACATCACCCATTGGACAAACACCATTAAAAACCAGCACAAATTAGAATGTTATTCGGCACTAAATCGAGAGTACACCACGGCAAGCTACCTGAGCACAGTGACTGATGTCAAACGCAGGAAAACACTGACGATGTACAGACTCAGCGAGCACAGTCTGTCTGTAGAGACGGGCCGGCGCAGACAAACCTGGCTCTCTCGTGAGGAGAGACTCTGCTCCCACTGCAGTCTGGGAGAGATAGAGACAGAGCTGCACTTCCTCACAGAATGCCCCAAATACCTAACCATCAGAGACCACTATTACCCCAAAATAAACAAAATATTTCCCCAATTTAATAGTTGCACCCCAACCGAAAAACTTTGTTTCATTCTCGGCGAAAAAGCCAAATGTGCAAATATTGCTGCAAAATTAGTAGCATCGTGCCATGACCTGAGGGACAAACACAATCCAGAAACACAGCCAATAGACACACTCTCACAGACCAGAACTGAAATACTGTTACTCATGTACATAATGTTACAATTCTCAGTTCAGTAGTTGCTACAGGAAAATCGTTATTATTATTATTATTTTAATTTTTTCTTCCTATATGTATGTGTGTGTGTAACGCCAAACCAGCAGAGGGAGCCCTCGCCCGAGTACTGACCGTGCTCCACTCCCTCTGCTTCCTCTACTTCCATTTGTGTGTGTGTGTGTGTGTGTGTGAGAGAGAGAGAGAGAGAGAGAGTGTGTGTGTGTGAGATCCGTACCCGCCCCGCTCCCAGAAATAATGGCCCAGAGCTCTGGAAAGCAACATTTAATTTCGGATTTTTCTCTTGAAATTTAACGCGTTTTTTCTCGAAACACAATGACTTTTTTCTCGTAATTTAATGAGTTTGTTCTCAACATTTAATTTCGGCTTTTTTTCTCGAAATTTAACGACTTTTTTCTCGAAACACAACTACTTTTTTCTTGTTATTTATTGAGTTTGTTCTCAACATTTAATTTCAGCTTTTTCTCTCGAAATTTAACGCGTTTTTTCTCAAAACACAATGACTTTTTTCTCGTTATTTAATGAGTTTTTTCTCGAAACACAATAACTTTTTTCTCGTAATTTAATGAGTTTGTTCTGAACATTTAATTTCGGCGTTTTTTCTTGAAACACAATGACTTTTTTCTCGAAGCACAATGACTTTTTCTCGTTATTTAATGACTTTTTTCTCGAAGCACAATGACTTTTTTCTCGTTATTTATTGAGTTTTTTCTCGAAACAATAACTTTTTTCTCGTAATTTAATGAGTTTGTTCTGAACATTTAATTTCGACATTTTTTCTTGAAACAATGACTTTTTTCTCGAAGCACAATGACTTTTTTCTCGAAACACAATGACTTTTTTCTCGAAACATAATGAGTTTTTTCTCGAAGCACAATGACTTTTTCTTGTTATTTAATGAGTTTTTTCTCGAAGCACAATTACTTTTTTCTTGAAACACGATGACTTTTTTCTCGAAGCACAATGACTTTTTTCTCGAAGCACAATGACTTTTTTCTCGAAGCACAATGACTTTTTTCTCGAAGCACAATGACTTTTTTCTCGAAGCACAATGACTTTTTTCTCGAAGCACAATGACTTTTTTCTCGAAGCACAATGACTTTTTTCTCGAAGCACAATGACTTTTTTCTCGAAGCACAATGACTTTTTCTCGTTATTTAATGACTTTTTTCTCGAAGCACAATGAGTTTTTTCTCGAAGCACAATGAGTTTTTTCTCGAAACACAATGACTTTTTTCTCGAAACACAATTACTTTTTTTTTTTCTCGAAGCACAATGACTTTTTCTCGTTATTTAATGAGTTTTTTTGTCGAAGCACAATGACTTTTTTCTTGACACAATGACTTTTTTCTCGAAGCACAATGACTTTTTTCTCGTTATTTAATGAGTTTGTTCTGAACATTTAATTTCGTCGTTTTTTCTTGAAACACAATGACTTTTTTCTCGAAACACAATGACTTTTTTCTCGTTATTTAATGAGTTTGTTCTGAACATTTAATTTCGTCGTTTTTTCTTGAAACACAATGACTTTTTTCTCGAAACACAATGACTTTTTTCTCGTTATTTAATGAGTTTTTTCTCGAAACACAACGACTTTTTTATCGTTATTTAATGAGTTTGTTCTGAACATTTAATTTCGGCGTTTTTTCTCGAAATTTAACGAGTTTTTTATCGAAACACAATGACTTTCTCGTAATTTAACGAGTTTTTTCTCGAAACACAACAACTTTTTTCTCGTAATTGAATGAGTTTATTCTCAACATTTCATTTTGACATTTTTCTTGAAATTTAACGAGTTTAATCTCGCACTATAATGACTTTAATCTCTAGATGGTTTTATTTTTTTTTTTACTATTTCTTGGCCCTAATCCTCTTCCATATGTAAGAGACTTCTTTCAGAAACCTTACAAAAATCTTACCGACCCCAAGCGTTTAAACAGTAGTGTAGATATCAGTTACTACTGCAGTCATTATTATCCTGAAGATCTTGCATGCAGGTAAGTAGTTGAACTATAACTAGTATGATTTGCTTGGACTGCCAGCTTCACAGGTGTGGTTGTGATGGTGAAGGTGTTTGTGTGAGAGCAGCAGGTTTAAGTGTGATGATCTGATGGGTTTTGTGTCTCTCAGACATTGACGAGTGCTCTCAGATCCTGGGCCTGTGCAGTGCAGGTCAGTGCTCCAACACCATCGGCAGCTACTTCTGCAGGTGTCCGGTGGGCTTCGACACGGCGCTGGACGGCTCGCACTGCATCGGTGAGTCCGACCGACTCTCACTGTCACAGTCTGATTTATTAAATCACTGTAATGAGCTCCTGATCTCCTCAGAAACTCTCCTCCTGTCTGTCTCCTGCAGAGAGACTATTCATGTTTTCTTATAGTTCACATTTAAAGTCGTAATGAAACCTAAAAGAGGAGAGCAGTAGATCCTCCAAAATCCACTGCAAACTCATATTCAGATCTCAAATTAAACACTAATTTCACACATTTCACAATTGGTTAATATTTCAATAACTTAATAGCACATTTGTATATTAACGGTCTCTGACGTTAATGGTCACATGACATGCAACATATTTTTTAGTGTTTTATTTTGATAGTTTTAAAAAATATTATTAATTTATTTAAAAAATGTTGTTACTTTTTATCATGCAATTTTAGTGTTTATTTTGATTAGTTTTATTTTAAAAACAGTTGTTTTAATGTTACATTTTTATTACATTTTTAGTAAGTCTTTTATTTTGATATTTTTTTTAAATGTTAATTTATTTAATTTATTTTATTTTTACATTTTTATCATGTCATTTTTAGTAAGTGTTTATTTTAATTAGTTTTATTTTAAAAATTATTTATTTAAAAATTTTTTATTTCTTTTTTAAAAACAGTTATTTTAATTTTACATTTTAATTTCATTTTTAGTAAGTGTTTTATTTGGATTGTTTTTATTTTTAAAATTACTTATTTTCATTTTGCATTTCTATAATAAATTTTTTTGTGTTTTGTTTTTAAAATCATTTATTTGTTTTTGATTTTGCATTTTATATGCTTTAAATAAATTTTATTATGATCCACCAATTTTTCTGATTTGATGAACCCTGATCCAGCTAACCAGGTTTGAATGGCATTAGATGTGAACTGACTGTGGCAGAACATGTGCAGTTATTCATCAGGCCAGTGAAGCACATTCAGATGAAGCTGATGAATTACACGAAACTGTAAAAATAAGCGTTTGTGTGTGCGGCCTTCAGAGGAGGCCGTGTGTGTGTGTGAGTGTGAGTGTGTGAGTGAGTGTGTGAGTGTGTGTGTAAGTGGGTCAGTGGTCTTCAGCTGATGTGTGTTGGCTGAGTTTGTGTGGAAGGAATGTGCGCTATGACTCGATCCACTCCAAACGTTTCCTGAGCCAAACATCCCTCTCTTCTCCTGCATCATCGCGCTCCGCTCACTCCCTCGCGTTACTCCTGCAGCTGGAGATGCCGACTGCTCCCCGGGCGCCGCAGCATAAATGGCTGCCCACTGCTCTCTCTGTGTGTGTGTGTGTGTGTGTGTGTGTGTGTGTGTGTGTGTGTGTCGCCACGTACACAATGTGAGGTGACACACGCGTGCACCCAGCTAATAAAAAACATGCTCTTAGAACGTTTTGCTAGTGTTCCAATTAAGTTATAAAAACATTATTTCTGAAAGTTCTATGAACATTCAAAACATCCCGTTTTTAAATGTTTTAAAGACATTTTTATGAGAATGTTAAGGGAACATTCCATTGTATAATTTTACAAACGTTACGGGGACGCTACTTTTGAATGTTCTCTGAACGTTCTGAAACAAGTAGTGATGTTTGAAAAACAGTAGACAAAAGTTCAGGAAAAAAACGTTCGGTGAATAATGTATGAATAATGTTTTGAGAACATTATTAAAGGCCAGATAACTCTGAACGAACGTTTTGTGAGTGTTACTGGGAGAACGTTTGTTCACAAGCTTTCCAGAACATTCTGAGAATGTTTTCTGTTAGCTGGGTGGACGTGTGTTTGTGAATCACAGATTCATTAATGAGGGTGTTTAAAACAGATGTTCTCTTTAGCCAATCAGATGTGAGTTTTTAAAGGGATAGTTCACCCAAAAATGAAACTTACTCACCCTCAAGCCATCCTAGGTGTATATGACTTTCTTCTTTCAGACGAATCCAATCAGAGTTATATTAAAAAACGTCCTGGCTCTTCCAAGCTTTATAATGGCAGTGAATGGGTGTTTCTGTTCAACAGTCCAAAAGAAGTCCAATAAAGTGCATCCATCCATCATAAAAAGTGCCTCACACGGCTCCGGGGGGTGAATAAAGGCCTCCTGAAGTGAATTAATTAATTTTTGTAAGAAACATATCCATATTTAAAACTTTATAAACCATAATCTCTAGCTTACGCTAACTGTCGTACGCGCGTTCATTCCGGCGGATGACGTAGGACGCCGCAAAATGAAACACTGGTCATGAATTAGAAGTACAAAACGAGGATTTGTAAAGAAAATGTGGGAGTATTCCGATATAAGCCAAGAGGAGACAGGTTTTCCTTTGCTAAAGTACGGAAACTTTGCTTCCTTTGCTCCTGTAAACAAACGGCGGTCCTCGCGAGACTAGCATATTCTCACCGGAGCTTACGCTACGCCTACATCATCCGCCGGAATGAACGCGCATACGACATTACGGTTTATAAAGTTTTAAACAAAAATGCATCGATTCACTTCAGGAGGTCTTTATTCACCCCACGGAGCCGTGTGAGGCACTTTTTATTATGGATGGATGCGCTTTATTGGACGTCTTTTGGACTGTTGAACAGAAACACCCAATCACTTCCATTATAAAGCTTGGAAGGATATTTTTAATATAACTCTGATTGGATTGGATTTGTGACTGCATTAGATTGTGTTAGATAAGTGCAGTGACGCTGTGTTTGTGTGCCCTGCCCCAGACGCTCGGACGGGGTTCTGCTACGCTAGCATCGTGAACGGACGCTGTGCTAACCCGCTGCCGCAGCGCATGTCCAAGAGTCAGTGCTGCTGCGAGAACCAAGGATGCTGGTCCGGATCCGCCGTCCCAGAGATGTGTCCCATCCGCGGAACAGGTGAGGATGAGCTTTATTAGTAACTTTATTTCTGTTTTCTATTTCAACGACATAGAAAATAGTTTAGAACAGCTGGACATTTGAAATAGTATTTTGAACAAGCAATATAAAAGATGGTATTATGGTACAGAAATTGAACTGAATAATAATTGAATGTGAATTTGAAACTCTCTCTCTCCCTACTCAGAGGAGTATCAGAGACTCTGTCTGTATAGTTACACGGTTCCTGATCCAGACCGACCAGATCTGGGTCCGATTCCCATTCCAGGTCCAGGTCAGATTCCCATTCTGGTTCCTGGTATTATTCCTCGCCCCGGTCCTGGTCCGGATTTTCCCGATGTCCCACGAGATCCCATACCTGTGCCGCCCACATCTGTTGACCTTCCCTCATTCACCATCAGACCTGGTAATGCACACAAACACACCTAAAACACCTCTGAAGGGCTTGGCATTGAAAAGACACGCCTCACTTCCTGTTTACTTCCTTGCTGTCAATTTGTGAATGTGTTGAGTGCTATATGAAACCGTTCATATCAAGAACACTTGAGTAACTTCTTACTGGCTTTGTGTCGGAATCATCTGTTCCGAATGTCAGGCAGATCTGACGAAAGAGCTGAGAGTGTTGAAAACACTGGAGCACAAAAGCAGTCTTAAGTCGCTGGGGGGTGTAGACCATAGATATGTATATATATCTATGGTGTAGACAGTTTCACTGATTATAATGAGTTCTATAGTATTTTGTCGAGCCGCGCCACTCGCGTCCGGTGTAGACACGGTGTAACATTAGTTTTGCTTTGTTTCACAGAACTAATCATTGCCTGGGTTGCGTACGTATGTGTGGAGCGGAGCCATCAAGATAGGGGCGAGACCCTTTTGGGGTAGGGGCGTGTTTGTTTTGGTGATTTCAAATGTCAACATTGGCTACCAGAAATCGCTTACCCCACCTTTAAATGTGTTTGATCTGTGATTCCCAACCTCCATAATATTCAAAGGCTAACATGTTTCCTAAAATAATTCAAATTTGAATAATACGATTTTAGGTTTCCACAGGTTTCCAGAAGCTGAATGTTCTTCAGGGCTCCTGCTCTATTTTACCACTGAATTCATGACTTTTTTCAGTTGTTCTTGATTCACTGGATAAATATAAAGCTTAAGGGTTTTAAAAAATATTTTTTACTCTCTGAAAATGAATAAATCCCGCACACTACTCAAACTTGCATAATTTTTATCCAATGCACATATGAGTGATTTGGATGTGCACTATATTTTTAATATACTCACAATTTCTAACTGATAAAATGTTTTACAGCATGGCATGACTAGAAAATTGTAAATTCATAATAAAAATGGCGTTTTAAGATCTGAATAATTTCAATGATGTTTCCATGTCTAGAAATCACACTTTAAAAAAAAAAGAGGCTTCCTCATATCAGTGTTATTTCAGTATCAGGTAGTATGAGATACTATTATAGTTTTTATTAATAATTTGAATCAGTTTTTATTTCTAAATTTTTTGTTTTCATTTAAATTTTAGTTACATTTTTTGTAGTTTTTTTTTTTTTGTCAGTTTTAATAGTTTTTATATGTCTATACTAGTTTTTTATTCATTTTTATTTATAATAGTTTTTATTATTATTTTTTTTTTTTTGTTTAGTTATTTTAGTACATCAAGTTAAAATAAAGCAATAAGCCCCGTGAAGCCGTGGTTTACAGTGAATTTATAACAGTTAAGGGGCGTTGTTAGCTTAGCTGTTATAAATTCACTGTAAACCATGGCTTCACAGGGTTATTGCTTTTATAAAACGGTTATTCCATATACGTAGCAAGGTTTCACAAAATAAAACAGAGCAAATAAAGTGTAATGATATTAATAAAAACAGTATTCTTCCACCAAACAATGTAGCTCCTCAGAAACAGTTGTGGTTGCAACAAAGTGGTTGCCGAGCAACACACAAACGTAAACAAAGGTGTATGTTACTTTGTAGAGTCATTTACAGCAGCTTCGAACGTGTCTCAGCCAATCAGAACCAAGCACCGGAACTATCCGCTTTATAATGAAAAATGTTGTCTTGGCAACTAGCTGAAATAAAAAGTTTTTATTTTATTTTATTTTTTCATTTAATTTCATTTCAGTTGATGTGCATTTTATTTCAAGTAACCAAAATGTTTTTTTTTAATGTTTGTAATTTTAGTTAACTATAAAAACCCTGCCTCATATATCCAGGTTTTTCTAGAGCCGCTGGTTTAGAGGGTTTGAGAGGCTGATCAAACTCGGCTAGTTTGATAAATGTCTCTGATATTTTCCCGTCTCTCTCTCAGTCATCCTGCCTCAAAACATCAGCATCAGGAACATGTGCGAGGCGTTTCGTAACCTGTGCATCAACGGCCGCTGCGTGCCGACGCCAGGCAGCTACCGCTGCGAGTGCAACATGGGCTACCGGCTGGACGGCCGCGGCGAATGCATCGGTCAGTGCGTCGCCTGATATCAGACGTGTGGAAGGTGTCTGCAGCGAGCGTTTGATCACGTGTTGCGTGTGTGTTTAGATGCGAACGAGTGTGAGCGGAGCCCCTGTGTGAACGGAGAGTGTGTGAACACACCCGGATCCTATTACTGCCAGTGTCCCACCGGATTCCAGAGCACGGCCACCAGAAAAGCACACACACGCACACACATGCTCACACACACAAAAGCACACACATGCTCACACACACAAAAGCACACACACACACACACACGCACACACACGCTCGCACACACGCTCACGTCTGCCTGCTCTCTGCAGATCTGGATGAGTGCGTGGCCAACGGTCGCATTTGTAACAACGGCCGCTGCGTCAACACAGAGGGCAGCTTCCACTGCGTGTGCAACGCCGGCTTCGAGATCTCGGCTGACGGAAGGAACTGCCAAGGTGACCCACAATGCACTGCAGTTTACAGACGGACATGAGCATGGGCCTTCGATAGTGACAGAAACTAGATTAGACGGCATAACGTTCACACTGGTCTGCTTTTATATCTGCATTACCACTGATTGGACGCTAGGTGGTGCTGTGGAGTAATCGTCACTGCAGAAACACAAAAATACTGATTGTTTCCAAACAGGTTTCACAGATACTCTGGTAAACTATCCTATTGCACACCTCTAAACTGATCAATGTGGACAGTTAGGCACTACGGTGGGTGGAGTCTGAGTGGGTGGGTGGAGTTTAACTGCATGGGTGGAGTCAGGGTGGGTGTGGTCTAATTTCAGGCGAGGTGTTTGAGTGAACATAAATGACATGTTTGCAGGGTTCGCACAAGTGCTTGAATTTAGATTTTAGAAATATATGTTCTAGAACACCTGGAAAATCATCTTCAGATTAATCACTTTCTCTAAAGGAAGAAGAATTCCCATACGGTACTTAGCTGTGGAATAATCAGTAGAAGGCTATTATTTTTCCAGAAACTGGGTTTTTAAGCGTTCTCGTGTCATTACAGGGTGCTCAAGGCTGTATATGTTGTATAATTTGTATAATAGGAATTATTACATAAGTATATTATATAGAAATGTATCTTTTACATTCTGTTCTTAGAGACCATTTCACACAAAATGTGTTTTTTCGTTCCACTGTGCTACTTTTCTGTTGTTTTTTATGTAAACGGTTTTTTATATAAATGTTGGGCTCGTTCGAAAAACAGCGTTCAAGTTCAAATAAGTTGAACTTTTTAAAAACGTGTTTTTCTCCGTTCCACTGCCTGCGTCTTGTGTTTTTCAAAGCAAAAGCTTGTTCTGTGTGAACGGCCTCTTCGTCTGTATTCTTTTTGCATATTAAGTTCTGGTTAGATTTTTTCAAAAAGAATATAATAAGCAAAGAGAATGTTAGAAATAAAAAAGTAAATTAAGAAAAACATGTATTATATGTAAGTCCTTAAAACTATAGGTGCTAGAAAAAGTGCTGGATATTCATGAGGTGATGAATATCTGTGATATCACAGATTTCTGTGTATCTGTGTGTGTGTGTGTGTTTTAGACACTGATGAGTGTTTGATAAGGAACATCTGTCTGAATGGCATGTGCATCAATGAAGACGGCAGCTTCAAGTGCATCTGTAAACCTGGATACTTGTTAGAGGGCACCGGACGATTCTGTGTGGGTAAGTACACACACACACACACACACACACACACTCACTCACTCACTCACTCACTCACTCACTCACTCACACACACACACACACACACACACACACCCCTCACTCACTCACTCACTCACACACACA